ATAGTGAGGTCAAGTCCAGCCTGAAATACATAGCGAGACTCTGTCTTCAAAACAAAGCAACCTTTAAAAGACATATACTGAATGATAAAATCAAGTTGCAAAAAGCATATTGACAGTACAGCAGCTCATATGTCAGGTATTTCTAGTACACTGAAAAATAATTTTAAGTGTTTGAAAATATTGTTATTTGTTGTAAAAATACAAAAAGAGGTAGAAATAGGGAAATAGAAGAAGAAAGGAGAAGAACAGGGAATGAGTATCTACATGTATCTTTGTGCTTAGCTTCTTGGCAGGGGCAACAGGATCACAGAAATCTAAGAGCAAATACAAAAAATGTGTAAACGTTAATGTGCTACAGATGTCTGTTACATCACAGTTCTTGTTTTCTGAATATTTTACATGTCTCATAATTACATAATTTTATACAGATATTCCTGATACATTAAGTGAAAAAAGTATACATATGATATTTCAATGAGACATAGAGGTTTGTAAGATAAAAGATCCATTTCAAACTGGCTTTTAAAAAGGGACGTGGGCAGACTGAAAGGGACAGGGTAATGGGGATACAAAGGATAAAATATGTCACATGCATGTGCAGATACGGCAAAACGAATCTCATTGCTCCGTGTCACTAATATGCGCCAATTTTAAAAGGGATGATTTATTAAGTAAATTAAAAATCAAGATGCAACCCCTGGGTGAGTCCCAACAGCTCAAATAAACATCACAAATGGCTCATTTTCTTCTTAGGTCTCCATTTCCCAAGTTACTGGTTTCATCACAAACTCCACCGAATGTCCAGCCACCAAAATGACACACTGGTGCTTCCTCCTGGTGCTTCCAGGTCTCAATTCCCATTCTTACACTGTCCTGTCCAGGAAAGGGAACACGGGCCTGTCGGTCCCTGTGCGGTCAGGAACGGCTCTGGCTCCCCGTGGTTGTGCCAAGCTCATGTGGTCATCTGTGGAGAGACCCACAGGCTTTGCAGGATGGAGACTGCTAAGTGGTTTAGGTTCTTAACGCTTATGCCTGTATCGGTGGTTTTCAGCCAAGGTGACTGTACCTCTCACGGGCCATGTGGCAGCGTCTGGAGTCCTGTTGAGTTGTCATTCTGAAGGAGGAGGAGGCTGCTGGCATTTAGTGGCTGGAGACCAGGAATGCTGCTGAGCCCCCTACCGTGAGTCATTTGTCCCCAAGGTCGAAAAACCTTGCTTTAGACCCATGCTACCCAAGTCACGCGACCCAGGAGGGTAGCTAAAAGGAGGAGTCTATTTCTCAAAGGAAAATCCTAGTAGAGTTCAAGAGAAGGGGAGGCGGGGAAATAACTAAAACATGAATTTTGATATATGTGAAAAAGATGAAATGAATGTACACCAAAATATTAACAGTAATGATCTTAAGGGCCAGGGAATTAGCTCAGTGGTTCTGGCGCCTGCCTCGAAAGTGCAAGGTCCCGAGTTCGATCCCCGGTACCAAACCAAACCAAACCAAACAAAACAGTAATGATCTTGGAGATGGCATTCAGGATTTTTTTGCATACTTCTGTTTTCTAATCTATCTAAAACAAATGTGAAATATTTGTGAAATTTTAAAAACCACTTGAAAGTACAAAAAAATCACCAAATGATACTGATGTCATCCAAATTTTTATGCTTCAGAACAAATGAATTTTACAATGCATGTTTTACGTGTTGTTATTGTGAGATATTAACTGGTGGTCTGCTCGCTTTCTCTTGACATTATTTCATGTAGATAATTCCATAAATCCAGAATAGGTGACATTTGAGTGGCTATGTAAAGTTTCATTGCATTAGCACGTCAAGATTTACTTAGCTGCCAGGGACAGTGGCACATGCCTGTAATCTTTTTGGCAGGCTGAGGCAGGAGGATCAAAAGTTCAAGCCCACAGTGAGCAACTCAGAAAGCTTGTCTCAAAATAAAAAATGGTTGGGATTGTAGCTCAATGTGAAAGCCCTAGGCTCAATCCCCAGTCACACACACACACACACACACACACACACCCCACAGATTTATTCAGCCATTTCCTGGCCGTTAATAATTTTAGATTTGTCTACCATTAGGAAAAGCATAGCTGTAAACATTTTTGCAAAAACCAGTGTTTCCTTAGATATTGTGTTTTTTTTGAGATTTGCTCCCAAAAAAACAGATTTAAAAAATGAGGAATCGAATGAGTTCTATGACCTACATAGTATATATTGTTACTTTCTTTTGTTCTGTTAGCTTTGGTTTCTAAAAAACCTATTATTAATGATTTAATATGCATGAGGTAATATATGGAGCTATTTTAATTTGCAATTCTCTCATTATTATAGAAGCCAAACACTGTCCCAAGCATTTGTTCACTATTTGTGTTTTCCTTTGTGTAAACCATCTGCTCATATTCTTTAAACCAGCTGTCCAGACAGACCTGACTACTGCCCATGTAAGTGATATGAATTTCCCTTACGTACATAACATTACGTGTGTATCTGTTGCATTTATTACAGACATTACCTACAGTTATCCTTTTGATTTTTCCAATTTGGGATTGTTTTCTGTTCCCTATCTTGTGGTATGTATTCATGCTTGCATTGAAATTTTTCATGCAGCCTGAATTTACTGAGCTTATCGTTTGTTTTGTTAGCAACTCTTTTTGTTACTTATTGTCAGGAAATCCTTTTTATTCCAAAATGGGTGTGAGTAACATTGTTTTATTTCATGTGTGCGTGTGTGTGTGCATGTGTGTATACACATATACACATCACATTTAACTCAAATTAATTCTTTTCACAGTGAATTATCAATCTAAGCCTCAGACACTAAGATTAGTTTGCCTGTACTGCCAGAAACTTTCCTCCAAATATACATCGAATAATTGTATATCTCTTTGTTTATAATAAATTGAATGTGTACTAATTTAGGGATGTTCCATTTTATCTGTTGGGCCTATCTTTCTGGTATTATTCTAGTCAGCAGATCATTTTGATAACTGGTCTTTGATGAGTTCCTGTAATATCTGGTGAGGCTACTTCTCCAATATTACTGTTATTACAACAATCTACTCACTTTCTTTCTAGTTGTTGTTTTGTCAATTTCTATGAAGTAAGTCATTGTGATTGTAAATGGTATTGCTTAAATCTATAAATGAACTTGCACATTATTTAAATCTTTACTATTTCAGCTCCCTGATCACCAGGAGAGGATATCTTTCCATTTTCTACCAAAAGTTGTATAATAACAGACTTACGAGAGTTCAGACCTTATCTGAGTTATAGATCTGGTCTACTACTCCCATTTCCCAGTGATTAAACCAAGGCCCTGAAGTTGATCTAAAAATCTATGCACAATGGGGGAATAACTGAAAATTGAATCCAGAGTCTAGGTCATACTATAGTTTGTCTATTAATCCACCCATTTAAGTCTTCATTTACTGCCGTTCAAGCTTCAAAACTACCTCTCACAGCCATTTATTTGATATGTCCCAATTGGTTAGTTTCTAAGAACTCTCCAGAGTGTGGGAGGGCCAAAATGAGCCTTTGGGCAGATGCAAGCGGACCGAGCCCCTTGGTAAGGACATAGGTACTATGCACAGCTCATGCATTGCATAGCTTTTTCTTAGATGGTTGTAAGTGGAGAAAAGCAAGTTGGCTTTTGAACTGATCCCCGATTTTGTCCTTTTAGGGATTTTTTTTTTTTGGTACCGGTGATTGAACTCAGGTCCTTGCACTTGTGAAGCAGGTGGCATAACCACTAAGCTAAATCCCCAGCCCCTTTTAGGGATTTTATTATCAATAATTTGTATTGTGCTTATAGTTTGCAGAGAAGTATGTTAGGCCCCTTCATGTCTTCCATTAGTATCAACACGTGAGCCTCATCTTCACCTATGCCAGAAGATTGCCAGTGCTCTAGCATCGTGACTAATTTGCAGGCAGGAAGGATAGGAAGAGCAAAACCTGGTGCCGAATCAGCTCCTCTTTAACTAGTTTCCCTAGTAGCCTTCCAGGGATTTCTGCTTATTTCCCAGAATTGTGTCATTTGCCAACCAAAGGAGCTGGTGGGTATGACATTTTAGCCAGACGCATTGTTACACTCAATAAAATCAAAGGCATGGTTGTAACTAGGGAGAGGAGACTAGCTACTGCCAGGCCACCAGTAGTGTGTACCACCTGGAGTGTGAACACACACCAGCAGGGAGTGTCGTGTTCAGGTGAAGACCATAGGGCCACAAGTGTGAGATCAGGGCATGCTCTTTGAGAGTAAACTGGATGCAGAACAGTGGTGGTGGGCAGGGGAGGTTTCAAGCCAGAGAGGGCCTGGGCAAAGACAAGGCAAGAGTCCCCCCACAGGTTTAAATGTCAGTGGTGGGAGGGAGGGATGGAGGGAGGGACTCCCCGTGTCTGGAATGTCTTTCTGGGGGTGTGGGAATATACAGAAATGCAGGGGTGCACTGGTCATTAACTGTTTCCCAACCCCAGTGTTCCTTGTTGAATCTTCATAACAATGGCTAACATTTATTAAAACCAACTGTGCACAAGAGGATTTTCCTATATATCATCTTTAATCCTTGCAAGGACCCCTTGTGAGAGATAAAGATGCTAAAGCTGAACCGGTTTGGATATTTGACCAAGGCCATGCACCTTTCCAACCCATGCTGTAAATATGCAGGATCCATATTTTCCCCACAATGTCACAATGTTAAACTTATTTTTGCATTTCTTTATTGTTGAGATTAGGAATTAAGATGGGTGAGTTAAACGTCTCCTATTCCTTAATATTTTATTAATTCTAAATTTTAGAGGGCCTTTATAAACTCTCCAACTAACTAGCAATATGATCCTGGACAATACACTTAACCTCCCTGGATTTGAATTGTTTCTTTATTACTGAGCTATAAAACCAGACAGATACTGCAAGAAAAGAACACTAGAGACCAATACCTCCTGGGAGCAAGGATTAAAAAATCCTAAAAACTTAAATGCATGAAATCCAACAATACATAAGAGATAAAGTGGGCTTTATTACAGGCATACTAAGGTGGTTTAACGTTTGAAATTCAATCAACAGACTAAAAACAAAAACAAAAGTATGATTCTACAATAGCTGCAGAAAAGCATTTTACAAAAATTCAACATCGCCTCTTGATAAGAACTCAGTACATTACAAGTAGATGAGAATTGGGCTGGGGATTTAGCTCAGTGGTTCTGCCGCCTGCCTTGGAAGCACAAGGTCCTGAGTTCGATCCCCGGTACCAAAAAACAAAAACAAAAAAACCAAATAGATGAGAATTTCCTCAATCTGATAGGTATCCTTGAAAAACATAGCTACTTTGAAACTTAATCGTGGAAGAATGAATGCTTTTCCTCTAGGATCAAGTACAACACGAGGATGTTCACTCTGGAAAGGAAAAAAAGGGAAGACGTTTGTACTGAGAGCTTGTTTGCAGGTTCTAGCAGGGGAGTGCAGCTACTCGTATACCCTTGACCAGAGCTTGTTTGCAGGTTCTAGCAGGGGAGTGCAGCTACTCGTATACCCTTGACCGAGGAAACGGTCCTCTGCGACCGACCGAGCGCGCAGCTTCGGGAGGGACGCACATGGAGCAGTGAGGGAGGAAGGGAACACCCCCCTGACCAGCCAGATCAGCCGAATCAACCCTGGTGATCAATGGGGTGACAGATGTCGCAGCCAGATCGCCCTCACACCCACGTTTGTATTGAAATAAAACTCTTTCTTTACAGATGCCATGGTTGTCTATATAGAAAATCCATTAAAATGTTACTAGAATAAATGAGCTTGGCAAGATTGTGGAAGACAAGATAAATATACAAAATCTACATACTAGCAAAAAAGCAATCAGAAATTAAAATTAATTAGAGGACATGAAGGGGCTGGGGCTGCTGCTTGGTGGTAGAGAGCTTGCCTAGCAAGTGTGAGGCCCTGGGTTTAAATCTCAGCATAGCAAACAAAACAAATCAACACAACGACAAGAAAACAATATTACAGCATCAAAAAATATGCTTCAGGATAATTCTGTCAAGAGATGTGCCAAGATCTATACACTGAAAACTCCAAAATACTGCTGATGGAAGGCAAAGAGATCCTGTAGAAGTTGAGGGGTGTATCTTACTTAGGAACTGGATTCAGTACAGCTGTGATATCAATTCTCCCCAAATTTATGGACAGAGCCAAGCAATCCCCATCAAAGTTCAAGGAAGTTTGTAGTAATTGAGGCCCTAAATCTAAAATGTATGTCAAAATACAAAACAACTAGAACAGCCAAAACACCTTTGAAAAAGAATTTAATTATAGCATTTATACTACCTGATTTGAAGTCCAATGATCATGATATTGTAGTCGTAATGTAAAAAATAGACAAATTGATGAATGGCACAGAATAGAAAGTCCAGATATAGATTTGCACATTGACAAAATGACTTTCAACAAAGAATCAAAAGCAATTCAGGGGAGAGAGGGTAGTCCTTTTACCACAGGATGTGGAAACACTGATGTTGAAAACAAACAATAAAAAAGTTGTCATATATAAAAGTTAAGTCAAAATGAGTAGTAGACGTATATGTAAAACCTAAAACTATAAAACATTCAGAATAAAACACAGAAAATCTGTGTGATCTTAGATTAGGGAAAGAAATATGATACCGCAAAATATAATCCATAAAAATTTGATAAATTGGACCTCATCAAAATTAAAAACTTCTGCTCTTCCTAAGATTCTATTACAAAGCTGAGCGTGGTGGCACACGCCTGTAATCTCAGCACCCGGGAGGCTGAGGCAGGAGGATCACCACAAATTTGAGGCCAGCCTGGGCTACACAGTGAGTTCAAAGCCAGCCTGAACTATATAAGGAGACCCTGTCTCAAAAAGAAAAAGAAAAGATACTGTAGGAGATAGAAAAGACAAGCCACAGAATGGGAGCAGAGGCACTCTGTGAAGCAAATATTTGACAAAGATTTATATCTAGAATATATAAGAACATTCACAACTCAGTAATAATCACCTAATAATAAATAGGCGATGAAGTTAGACACTTCACCACGGAACATACGCTCATTGCAGTTGAGCACATGGAAAAGCTCATAATCATTGGCCTTGGGGACCGTAAAGTAAAACCACAATGAGATTACCAAAAAGCCTGCACATTCACATCGTCAAGGGTGAACAGGAAAGGCAACCCTGACGCACTGCTGGAGGGACAACTGCGACAGTCACTTGGAAAACAATTTGGGTCTCTCTCTCTCTCCCTCCCTTCCTTTCTTCTTATGTTTACCTCATGATGTAGCCATGCTGCTTCTAGGTATACCCAAGAGAAAAGACTGCATCTATCCGCGCAAAGGCTGGTACAGGCATGTTCCTGGTGGCTTTAGTTTTAAGAAGGAAAAATGGGAAGCATTTGGTGAGTAGACAAACAGGAGTTTGGTAAATGGAATACTACTCAGCACTGAGGAAGGATGAGCAATTGCTACATGAAAAAAAAAAATCACGCAGGCCTGTCAAGATCATTATGCTGAGCGGAACAAGCCAGACGAAATCAAGCACAAATTGTATGATTCCATTTCTATACAACTCTGGAAAGTGCAAACAAACTGAAGCCGGTCGGTGTCTGGACTGATCAGCAGCTGGCGCTGTGTCCTGGGGCGCAGCCCGGGTGTGTGTGGATGGAACGGGCACATCTGGGGCGCTGCCGCAGACTGCATGCCGGAAAGGAAGACCCCGGGCAGGAGGCGGTGTACATCCTTCTATTAAGCGACAGGCCTCGGGGCCGCTCCGAGAATGTCCTATCCGGCGGCAGTTTTAGGGCTGCAAGCAGGAGGGGCCGAAGCGGGAGGGGCCGAAGCGGGAGGGGCCGAAGCGGGAGGGGCCGAAGCGGGAGGGGCCGGAGCGGGAGGGGCCGGAGCGGGAGGGGCCGGAGCGGGAGGGGGCGGAGCGGGAGGGGCGGAGCTTCCCAGCAGCGCGGTGGGGCCGAGGGCCTCCCGCTCCCGGACGCAAAGTAAGAAGCAGGCCGGGCTCAGGCGCCTCCCACGAAGAGCGCAGTTACCCTTAGCCCGCCCACCGCTGCCTAACAACACTTAACTCGCACTTATCCGATTTAGTTATTTCTGTTAGAAATATATCCGTCTGCCTGGAAATTCCCTTTCGGGGGAAGGGAGGCAGGGAAGGTCGGGAGCCAGAGGACGGGGCAGGGGTCACCGGAGGGGGTGACGGAGGGGAGACGCGGGGGAGGGGAGGGGGCGGGGCCTATACAGGGGCGGAGCCACCGGGAGCCATGGCCCGCCTGCCGCGAGCGCTCCTGCTCCTGCCTTCCGGAGAGTGGCGGGGCCGGGTCGTGCGGGGCCTCGCGGGGTCGGGGCGCGGGGACGCAGGTAGGACACAGCCTGGGTCCGGCGAGGGGCCGGGGACCGGGAGCTGGGGTCGGGGACAGAGTCCCGGGAAGGCGCGTCCTCGCCGCGGGGAGCGGCGTAGGACTCGGGACCTGGCTGGTCGGCCCTGCCCTGTCCGGAGCGCACCGGGCCGGGGACCCCGGGGTCGCGAGGGCCCTGTAGAGACGCCGGGGGAGCGCGCGTGCCCTTGCGTGCGCGTGCCCCGTGTGCCGTGCGCGCCCCTCGGCCAGGGGTTCGGACGCAGTAACAGCGGCCTGGCTCACCCGAGTGCGCTGATCACACCGAGGGCTGTGCCCAGGCGCACGGTCCGGCCGGCTGCGCGCCGCGCCGTTGAGCCCCGCAGGGTCTCCCGGGGCCGCCCCTCCGGCCGAGCTCAGCCCTGCGGCCAGTGGTGGTAGCGGAAACTTCTCCCGCTGGAGCTGGGGCTGTCAGAAGGGGCGAATAAATTGCTCTGGGATCTGAAGTTTTTCCGATACATACCAGAGCCGGGTAACTTACAGGTCTCGGAGCTTACTCTAAGGGAATAACACGGGGGAAGAACAAAGCTATATGTGCTAAGACGTGCTTAAGAGCGTTACTCTTAGCAATCGGAAACTGGCTTCAACCCAGATGAGTTAAGGGAGACCTAGGTAAATCTGGAAGTTCAGTTCAACAAGCTCTTAGACACCCGTTAAAAATGATGCCCAGGTAGTACTAATATGGTTAATGGCTTGGTTGTCGATGCACCCAAATTTGAGTCTTGGCTCCTTCTCACTGGCTCTGTCTGAGCTTGGGCTGTTAAGATAAAATACCGTAGACTGAGTGGTTTAAACAACAGACATTTATCCATCACAGTTCTCGAAGCAGAGGCATCCAAGAGAAAGATGGCAACACATCGGGTGCCAGGTAAGGACCCCTTGCTACCTATCTGTCCTTGTAGCCTTTCCCACAGCCTGTGTGCAGGGAGAGAGCAAGTTGATGCACATTGATCCTACTAGGAGAACCCTAACATGAGAGCCCCTCTCAGGATCTCACCTGTGTAAAGTAGAAAGTCCCATACAGATTACAAGTAAAGGAGTGGAGAAAAATAAACTACGCTTATAAAAAGGAAGCAGGAGTAGCTAGCTACACTTCAGACAGAACAGAGTCCAGAGCAAGGAGAGTTAGGGGCATTGCATAATGATAAAGGGACCAGTTCCTCAAGAAGATATAATGAGACTTGAAGTGTGTGCACCTAACAACAGAGCATCAAACTATGGGCAGCAAAAACTGATAAACTTGCAACGAGAAAAAGATGAATGAATCCCCTATCATAGTTGAAGACTACTCCAGCACCATCTTGTCAGAAATGGACAGATCCAGCAGGCAGAAAATTAGGAATAGTATAGTTTAACTCATCACCACCAACTGTGGATAATGGACCTCTCTAGAGTGCTGCATGCATTGGCACCTGAGGACACGTGCAGGTTAGAAAAGAAAAAAAAAGCAGTATGAACGTGAGAGAGCAGAGCATGGAAATGCCAAGACAGGAGAAACCGTGCCCTGAAGACTGGTTCAGAATGACGGGTGCAGAAGAGAGGGATTGAAATTGGCAGCCCTGACTAAGGCACAAAGGGCACTGGAAATCACACGAGGGAGACTGACTCAGATACTCTGACTTTCAGAGTATTAGGTTTCACCAAACAGTTCCGGGCTGTGAGAAAAAAATCAGAAATGGTTGGGACAGGAGGAAGGCATACATGTCAGCAAATTTTTGTAACAATGTGTGCTGGAATAAGGGTCTGAGAGTGAGGAGAGAGAATGCACAGGTCCCTGAACCAGCAGGGCTCGGTGTGGAGAAAAGAGTCACATGGCTGATGCCCTGGGTTCCCAGCTTGAAACTCCCTGAGCTAGCACACACAGACGAGCGGGGTGTGGGCTGCAGCTCAGTGGTAGTGTGCTTATCTGGGGTGCATGAGGCCTTGGGTTTGGTCCTAGGCACCCCCAAAAGAATTAGGTTGGTAGGTTGGGTAGGGAAGACTGTGAAGTTTCTCTGTGTGTTTGGGATGGGACATCCAATGGAGCTACCAGGTGCTGATTACATGTGGGTCTGGAGTAGCAGAGAGATCTAGGACAGAAGGAGAAACAGATATCTGGGAGTCCTCACCATGTCCTAGAAGCTGGAGCTGTTAAGTGGAGAACAGCTTAAGTGTCTCGTGTAAGGCTGAATGGTTGGTCTTCTCCCTCGGAGAGACCCAGCACATCAAGATGCGGGTGGCAAGGAGGAACTGCCACTGGGTCCTGGTCCTTGAAGAGGCGAAAGGAGATGTGATCCTGAAGAACAACAGCACAGAAGCAGAAGGGGTGGTCATCGTTTCACTGCAGCAGTGCAGGAGGAAGGATGTGAACAGGCGCAGATATGTGGTGGTCAGGAAGCAGGAAACAGATTTCCCCGGTGACAGTTTTGGTTCCGCCCAAGTGGCATCGTCTGCTGGAGTAGGAGGGACCTGGTGGAAACTGTAGTTTAAGGAGAATAGAAGAAAGTTTAAAAAGCCAATTGTGGAGCAAGGAATAGAGCTAGATAAGGACAGAGAAGAAAAGCCGCCATTCATGGAGACCCCGGTGAGCTTACGCTGAATTCATGATAACTTTCTTTCACCGAGGGTTTTAGAATCCCCTGACGATTTGTGCTCGGATTGGTTATTATTTTGGTGGTTGCAAATGTGGTGATTTTTAAAATTCTATCATTCTTTTTCCATCTATTACTTGGCTGCCTACATGATAAGTGAAAATCACGGGCAATAGTAATTGTCACACACATGCATTTTGCTTTGGTCCCAGGAGGTGAGTTTCTGAAAAAAAGTATGTTAACTGAGCTATATTTTCATAGGAACATTTCAGAAGTATGTTCTATAGTAAGAAAGAAATTCCTGTAGCTTATAAAATGTATATTTAAAAAATCTTGTAATATATTTAACGGTTTAAAAAACCTTTAAAAATATAAATAAGCATAACCAATCAACACTGTACAATCTGAAAATACAGAAAATTGTGCAGTATTACAAACTGGTGAGGAAGAGAGTCTTTTCTAAAGGATTAGTTATGACTATTTTGAGATCAAAAATGAATTTCAAATATAAATTCATAACATGTTTGATATATGGGACTCCACAGCACAAGTGTTTTTTGTTTGGATTCTGGAGATTGGACATAGGGCCTCATGCATGCTAAGCACACCCTCTACCACTGAGCTGTAGCCCTGGCCACTATCAACCGTTGTTTAACTTTTATCTTCAGCACCATGGGCAGGTTCCTAACCCTTTGGGGCCTCTATTCTCCTTTGTCAATTGAAGAGTGGAGAGATCATAAAATCCTTTCGTATTCTTCATGTTGGATGATTAAAACATTTACCAAGAGAATTGTGCTTTCAGCATGCTTAAGCTAAAGAGAATATCATCTTAATTATTTTGTTTATGCTCACCCACATAAAAGTAATAAGACAGAAGCTAAAGGAAGTAGGAAAGAGGAAAACAAAATATGGACTTTATCCCCAAAGCATAATAGATTATGGTAAGTCTCAGTTTCCCTTTCAGAAATAGATAAGAGTCTCTACGCCAGAAGATTTTTTAATAAAGATCTCCCGTGACAAACAAAATCAGAGATATCTTTATAAACCAGCAAGCGAGGAGTTTAATAACGTGCTAGCTCAGGCTTGTTTTCTATCCAATCCTTCCCCTACTCCCAGCTGTGTCCTGACAGGAAGGCTTCTCCAAAAGTGGGAAAGGAGGCGAGGATCAATTTCCTGCTCAGGTGTCTGAGAATATATTCTGCATTATTACACATTTCAGCTGCCTCTTTAGCTCCTGTGCCCCTGGAGAACTAGAAAGCTCGCTCCCTACTTATTACTGATTTCTTATTAAATTACATAGTCAAAGCATTTTGTACCTGAGGCTTCAGGTTCCTGTGAAGAATGAAGTGTGGCGGAGAGAAGAAGGATAGGATTATTCCGCCGGAAGATGGTGCACTTGGGAGAAAGGCCAGGGAAGGAGAGTCCGTTGTGCTTTTTTTTTTTTTTTTTAATAACACAGATTTCCTACTTAACAATCCAGGGTCTTTTCTGAAGCGTGAGCTGACTCTCACCGAGGCTGAGTGGCAGAAGAAACTGACGCCAGAGCAGTTCTGTGTCACGAGGGAAAAAGGAACCGAACCGGTGAGCTGAGCCAGTGGACAGCTGGGCTGGGGGTGAAGGGTTGGAACAGATCGGCATCCTCCGCACGGATGTGGTCCTCCAGTTCAGTGGCGGAATCCCAGAGCCTTCCCTGGCTGTCACCTTCTGTCCTGTCGCCTCCGTTGTCTGTTCTGGGTTCCAAATAAACTTCCGGTCATTTCGCCACTGAGCCCCGTCACCTCCTCTTAGCCTCTGACCGTGCAGCCGCCAGCCTCCCTGCCACAGCGCTTGTTCCTTGCCCGGTGCTCCGGTTAGGCCGAGGTGTACCTCCACAGCCGCGCGAGCTCACAGCTGGGGCTTCGGGAGGGGACTGGGTCTTGGGTGGGGTAGTCTTCGAGGAGCTGGTCGCAAGAGGTGCGTCACGGGGCGTGACCTGGCGGGCTCGTGTTGGTCCCTTCCCTCCCTCCCCACCCGTCAGCGGCTCTCCTCCTCCAGGCCCTTCCACCGTGCCCCTCTGCCTTGGAGCCACCGCACGGTGGGCCGAAATCTTTACAAACTGGGAGCTGAAATAAGCCTCTCCGCCTTTCACTTGTGGCTGGTGTTCTCCGCAGAGAGAAAGTAGCTAAGACTCGGGCCATCCCTGTCCCGTGCCAGAGTCTTTTACCACCGCTGACCACACCACTGCCCAGCTCGGAATCCCTCTGGCTTCCCACTGCTTTCAAGGAAAGAGACAATACTAAATGGCTAATCAGTTCCTGACAGCTCTGCCCCAGATTTCTGACGCGACCTCACAGCCAGCCAGCTCCCTTTTGGGTCTGCACTGCACTTCCTCCCAGCCTTGGCTCGCCCCGGGGGGGGGGGCTCCCTTTCCACATAAGGGCCCTGCACCCGGGTTTCTCCCCCTTGCCCATGCCCCTCCCCCTAATCAACTCAGACCTACATTTTACTCACTTTCTTAGGAAGCCTTTTTCTTTCCCAAGTGAGGTTCACTTCTCCCAGTTCTTTTCCATCATAGCATTTGTCATTACTGTCCGTGGGGCCTGGCAGTAGTAGGCAAGCAAAAAATAAATTTTTGTGAATATTGAATGACTGTTTAGAGGCGGAAACAGTTCCTTAAACTGTGTTCACCAAGCTCAGCTGTCCTTCCTTTCCTGAGAGAGCAACCCTCAGCCGTTCGGCATTATAACCATTTTTTATAGTACTGCTGTTTTTATCAAGTGGTCAATCTTAGAAGGAAATATAGCTGCTACAATGTAGCTATTGAACTCTGTTACTAGATATTTTCATTTGCAAAGCAGTCCCAGCCCCACAGGCCACGGTACAGTGGTTTCACCATCTTGTAGAATATTTCTGCTTTTACCTGCAAAATTCAGGCAGAAAAGTCTGTGTGCACACAGCCTGGTAATGACGGTCACATCCTCAGTCTCTGATACCAGTGTCCTCGGACCCACCAGCAGATCCCAGGGGATTCTCAGGAAATGCCAGTCTTTTCCAACTTCTGTGGGCAGGGCTTGTTTTGAGAAAGTTTTCCCTGGGAAGAAGGCCACACTCACCATCATTGGAGAGGCTCAGGGAGCCACAGGCGGTAGTCTGAGCAGGTGCAGGGCAGGTCTCCTGGTGACCTCAGCCAGCCCCGACTCAGGTGCAGAGCCCGGCAAGATCTGCTGTATGTGCAGAGCCTAGACATGCAGTGCCTGACGTTGAGGAGAACAAATCCGTGGGCTTCTGGAACAGATGGTACCGTGTCCTCGGTGCATGTGGCCATTCTACAAAATGAGTGCCACCGTTACTTTAAATAGGGTCATAAATCCCTTTCAGCTGTCCACACTGAACTTTTAAAAATATTGCAGAACTGCAACCCTTAGCTTCTTTAGGCCAAGGGAAGAGCAAACATGAAATCTTCCTACCGGGTGACTCCAAATTAGGCGTTCGTCACTGTGTTTTTAACTGGGCTGCCACATATGCTGCTGCTCTGCTAGCTCAGAAAGCGCCTGCACCTGGCTGAGCAGTAGCTGAGGCCTGGCGCCAACAGAGGGGGGTTTTGTGCAGATCCTTCTCTGGACGCAGTCTCCTTAGCAGGTCCCTGCTTGTACCTCTGGGAAGAGGGACTCGCTCTTTAGACCTCTGGTTACTGATTTAGTTTAGGCAGCAAGAAACACCACCAAGATAGAAAGAGGGCAGGGCAGAGACACCAGGTGGGGCTCAGGCCCTGCCGAGGGAAGCCCTCGCCAGTGGCTGTGTCCTCCCCTGCGGCGACCACTCCTGCAGGCTCCCCACACTGCAGTGGGGTCTGCTCATAGCTCAGCCTGCCCTGGCCTCTCCTGCCTGCCCAGCATCCTCTTCCTTCTCTACCTCGTCTGGCTGTCCTTCCCATTGTCCTGAAACATCCTTACATCTTTTCATTTCATCAACTCTTACTTATACTTAAACATTCGGCTTAGTGTTTTGGCATTTTTCTATAACAAGCACCAGTCAGCTGTGTAATGTAATAATAAAAGGTTCAGAGAAAAAGACCTATTCAATTTAGACTGTATGCAGTGCTGCAAGCCTTCGTGGAAACTCCCCCCATGGGGAAGGGTCCTGAGCTACCAAACCCCTTGCCAGTTCTGTGTCGTGGCCACCATCATGCCAGGTAAGTGCAGCTCACGTGTCACTCCCCACCGAGGCAGCAGATTGTGTGAGGACAGAAACTATGAGTTTGCCGTTGTTTTCCCCACCTGCAACATTAGCACACAGCCTGAGGCTTGTTAGCACTGAGTTTGTACTAGATTGGCAGTCATTACTAGAATGAGGGCTGTGGACATGGCTGCATTGCAGAGAGCTTGTCTAGCTTGCTTGGGTTCCTGGCTTCGAGCCTTAACAGTGCAAATAAAGAGATATTAGAATGAACAAATGGATAGGAGTTGAGTTTGATCTTAAGTAAGTGATAAGACTCGTATCAGGTTGAGGGACAGGAAGGAGGATACCAGGAAGCCATTCATACAATACTGGCTAACAATTCCTTTTTATTTGAATTTACAATTTTTATTTTACTTACTATTCCTTGCAGTCCCCTGTCACTTGTGCCCATCTGTCCCCTGCAGTGATGAAATTGGATTTGAATCTTACCATGCTGCCTGGTTCCTATCAGTAGGCTCTTCTAGATCAGCCTGTGGCAGGGGCTCCTTTGGCAAGTAGGGCCAATTGCCCAGGGTGGGGGCGTAAAACTTCCTTTCGGGCACAGATGCTGTCCAGCCCACTGCTGGGAGGAGGCATTCAGGGGCTGGGCTGGGAAAGGCCAGCTGACCACCTGCGGATGTCTGCACCTGAGTGTAGGGTTTGGAAAAGGAAAAACATCCAAGTGGTCTCATCTGGCAAGCTCAGTAGGTTAATTTGAAAATGTCCTTTCTGCGTCTTGCTGAAGCCATGCTGCTGGTGCCACTTCAGGGAGTCTGGAGGTTTCTGAGTTGGGAGATGCAGAGCAGGCCGAGAGGTCCCGCTTGCCCCGAGTGGGCTCTGTCCCCCAGGGAGCTGGTGGGTGCTTCCCCTCCTCCTCTTCCCCATGGGATAGGGTGACCCTTCCACCAGGCACTGTGGTGCGGATCCTCACAGCATGTGCAAGACTTTCTTTTTCCAAACTTGTCTTTGACAGAGAAAATGATAAAAGGAATTGGGCAGAAATGACCTTTGTAAAAGACAAAAGCCAGTGTGATCCAGTTTGCAGAGTAACGTTGAGGAAGAATTCTTTCTTCTTGGCTTGCTCGTGGGCTCATGTCCCTCTAGAATACCTTTGAAAACCTGAAAAGTCCTGAAGACACCAGGAGCGTGGTCACTAAATAAGTAGTAACCTCGTCCCTGGGAGGACCTGGCTCATCCTTTTGTTGTGCCAAGCGAGCCGATAAATCATCAAACACCAACGACAAAGTTAAACTGAAAGGAGTTTATTCACGCGCACGGACTCCACTCCCTAAGTGAAGTGAAGCCCTGAGTCCAGGAACAGCACAGGGTGTTATAGCAGCATAGCTTTTATAGGTGTTATTTTAAGAAGAGAAGTTCAAGGGTAGATTAACATGTTTTTGACTAGTTGCAAAAGTATTTTTCACAACTCAGCTATCTTGCTGTTTTGTCAGGTTGGGGCAATCTACAGTAAAGAGAGGCACCAGGCACTATCTCTTTCCGAGAAGTGATGAAGCAAGTTTACAGAAGCAGAACAAGCAGTTACAAAAACATCTATTTTATAAGGGGAGGGGCATGAGGGGGCATTTCTTGGGTTTATCCTGGTCTCACACTCTAACGTTTGCTGGATGGGCAGCATCCTCCCTGGCTCCATTTCACTGAACTGTGCTTTTTTGCATTTCTATTCGTCCCCCTCTGGCTAGGCAAGCACTCTCCCCCTGAGCTACGTCCCAAGCCCTTCATATTCTATATTTAATTGTAGATTTCAGAGTATTTCAGACAAGTATTTAGGTTTCTGTTGTTTTAACTCTTTCGAAATGGGAAACTGAAATCTTACTCAATCACAAGGGATGAGACACAGCTTTCTTGCTTTTTCATGGACTTTGATGTTCTTGGATGAAAGGTGGTATAGAAATACAAAGCATTCTTAATGTCACAGTTTGAATATTTGACACAGTAAAGGGCCCGGCTGTAAGTAAACCTGCAGGCTGCTTCACTGGGTGACTAATTTTTCCCTCTGATGATGCTACACTTTGTCAAACTGGTACAGAAATTCCTCAATTTGGAGACTTATTGTGGTTGTTTTTGTTTGTCTGTCTTTGGTTTTTTGCCACACTAGGCATGGAACTCAGGGCCTTGCACATGCTAGGACAGGACTCTAGCACTGACTCTACCCAGACCCAGCCCTTATCTTGGGGTAAATCTACGGTGCCACCTCCTGCGGGTGATATGGGAGAACTGCACATGACGTATCTCGCTCATTTGCAGCCTTTCAGTGGGGTCTACCTGGACCACAAGGAGCCTGGAATGTATCACTGTGTGTGCTGTGACAGCCCCCTCTTCAGGTAAGATAAGGGACCCAGTGCTGGGGGAGGGAAGGAGCCTCCCTATCCATATGCTCTGGCTCATTTGGAGTCTGGAATAAATATATGCTTTCTGGTTCGCGGTGCTGAGGATTGCACTCGAGACCTCGAGCTGCCTCTGCTGCACCCAGGCCCTCCTTGGATTTGAACTGCCCTTCGCTCTTGGCATTGCTGCAGTCAGAAGAGCTGTTTATACGAGAAGCTTGTCCGCGTTGGCTTTGTCCTAGGGTTGGGAGCGGTGAACGAGCCCTCTTAGCTTACGTTCTTCCTTTAGGTCTCCCGGAGAAAGAGCAGATAAATAAAACCTTGGTGGGTACCTCACGATAAAGCTATTGGAGTTTTTTAGAGGGAAAAATATTTAAAGAAATCTAAGTCGTAATAGAATTTGCTTGACCATGTGATTAAAAGTATACCTCTCTCAGGGAAAATGGATTTATAATTTAATTTAGGAAATGTACAATTTTATGAGGATAGATTCCATACAGTGCTTGACAGTAGTGAATACCATGCCCTCTTCCGTGTAGCTAAAAGTAAATTTAATTGTCCCTTGATTTCAAAGCCTCTTTTAAGTCAATCGGGATTTAAAATCTCTCCACAAAGGCTTTTTTGTTTAGAGATGCAGGAAACAGTCTTTTAAAAAAGTGGATTCGATGAAAAAGAAAAACATCTTTGAAGCTCTATTTTTCAGAACTTCAAAGATGTTTTCCTTTCTTTTGCGTCAACCCTAAATTGGTTTAGAATAAAATATAAATCAAGCCAGCTCTGTGAATCTTCCATTAGGCAGGGTTCCTCCTGTCCTCTGGGCTTTAAGCAGACGGGCTTTCCTGGCCAGGCGGCTGCTAATGGGGACTGCATTAGGGAGGCCAGACCCACTGCAGGGACGAGGAGCGGTAAGATTGATTTTCCTTCATGCGCGGAGCCTGGAGGTTGTGGGAACTGCTGAGGAGGTCTTGGGGAGGAAGCCAGCCCTGGACGGCGTGGGAAGAATAAGAGGAAGTTCACTTTTACAGTGATGTTAGAGAAGCAGACCGTCCCCTGGCCTCACACCATGGCAGTCAGCAAGGAAGACTCGTTCATGTAACTTCCTAAGACTGGGGACCCTCTCTCCGGAAGCAGGCAGTCACTTCTGCAGTGGATCCTGCTGGTGCCCTCATCTGGTTCAGTTCGAACTCTGCCTGCCTGGAGGAAGTGTCAGACCCTGCAGGCCCAGGGCTCTGTCCCCAGGGGTCACCCTGCCACCCGTTTGCACTCCAGACACCCATTGCAAACTCCAGGTTTAGACTTGTGTTTCTGACCCACTGGCTGTAAACTGGCGTTCCCACAGCCCCCTCCTTGGGTACAGTTAATTTGCTTGAGCAGCTCACAGAACTCAGGGAAACACTTACGTTTACTGGTTTAAATTTTATACATATATATTTACTTTGTGTTTTGAGACAGGGTCTCCCTGTGTAGCCCAGGCTGGCCTTGAACTCTCAGCAGTCCTCCTGCCTCAGCCTCCTGAGTGCTGGGTGCCACAAAGCCCAGCTCTCCTTAAATTTTTCTGTTTTTGTTTTTTGTTACTGGCTTATCATAAAGGATATTACAGAGGCCATAGATAAAAAGATGCATACAAGGAGGTATGAAGGAAGGACGCAGAACTTTCATGCCCTCTCTGGGGACACCCTCCAGTTGTAGAAAGCTCTCTGGACTCTGTCCTTTTGGGGTTTTATGGAAGCTTCATTCCATAGTCATGGTTGATTAATCATTGACCATATTTGACCAGGTTAACCTTCAGCCCTTAGTCCCAACCTTCTACACCTGCCTTGCTTTTTCCGGTGATAGTTCCCACCCTGCAGCTACCTAGGGGCTGCCAGCCAGGAGTGGACTCTTTAGCAGACAGAGGATACTGTCATTCTGAAGAGTCCAGGGGTTTGAGGCTTTGCGTATGCCAGGAGATGGGAGGGGTACCAGATGCGCACTCAGCAGTATCACAGCAAAGAATGTGAGGCCCGCATTGGTGTCACCCACTCCTTGTCCTTTCCTTCAGGGAAAGGGGAGAAGGAGGACCTTAAGTTGGCCAGCTTGCTCTCAGCCAAAGGACCTTTCTGGAAGTGTCATTGTCTAGCCATCGGGACGACGTTCTGTGCCTGTGTTTGGACCATGGTGACAAAAGATGCCGAGCCCCCCTCCTGAGGGCACGCTTCCAGGTGTTAGGCTTTGTTCTTCAGCTTCATTGGTGTCCAGTTTCCAGATCTGTAAAGAGAAACCCTTGTCACGACCCCAGCCCTCCTTTGTCCCCTAGCTGTGCAGGCTCAGTGAAGGTCACAGAACGATGGAGCAGGCAGGGACCTGAAACGCTAGCAGAAAGCTCTGCCTGACAGGACTCGTGGTGAAGATGGAAACTGTGTGTCTACTGTGGCCATGGTGGTGGCTGCTCAGCACTTGTGCCTAGGAGCCTTGGAGATTCGGGCTGAAAAGCTGAATTTTTCATGTTAGTTAATTTTAGTTCACTTAAATTTAGAAGGTCACATGTGGCCAGTGGCTACTGTATTAGCACAATGCTTGTTCAAATTAAGAAAGTTAAGTGGTGAATCCCAGGTCACTGAGGTAGCAAAACTGCCAAAACTAACAGAAACACCAGCTGAGTCTTCAAAAGCCTGTTTACCTTGTGGCCAGTTCACTGAACCACCAAATCGTGTTTCTTTTTAAACATTTAGTTTTAGTTGAAAAAAAATTTTTTTTAAGAATTTTCGAGTTTGTTTGTGTTCCATTTTCTTGTGGCTGCTGCTGTTCCAGCTAAGACTGAGGGAAATAAGAACATATCCTCGTGTGGGGTCAGTTTTCCAGTACTATAACACATACCTGCTCTATAAAGAGAAAAGGTTCTGGCGTACAGTTTCAGAGCCATGATTGGTCGATCCTCTTTTGCTAAGCTCATCATGACTGGGGTGCATGGCGGAGCAGAAGCACCCACCTCAGAGCCAGGAAGTGAAGGAAGGAAGAGGGGCAGGGGTCCTATAATCTCCTTGGAGGGCACACTCCCAGGGACCTGCACCCCTCCAATGAGGCCCCACCTTTTAAAGGTTCTTCCACCTCCCTCAGTGCCAAGGTGGGTACCACAGCTTTAACACATGGGCCTCCAGGGGATACTTACAATCCAAACTATTGCGGTTCATAAGAATCATTTATGTTCTGGGATATACTCTTTTATTTTTCAGTACAGGGAATTGAACCTAGAGCCTTTGCACTGAGCTACATCCCCAGCCCTTTTTTTATTTTTTATTTTGTGACAGAGTCTCACTAAGTTAGCAGTCCGAGCTTGAACTTGTGATCCTTCTGGCTCAGCCTCCCAGAGTGTAGGATTACAGGGCTGTGCCACCATTCCGAGATAATAATATGCTCTTCTTAAAGATGCACTCATTCACCATGGAGTACAGAAGGCTGTCTTTGTACATCCTGGCTCCTTTGCAGTGTGGCCTTGAGAAAGTTTCTGAACCTCCCTGTGACTGGATTTCCTCACATGTAAAATGAGAATAGTAATGGTACCTAATCCATACAGTGGTTGTCTTTCATAGGGGAGAAGAATCACATGCACAAAGAGAATACCACGTGAATACAGGGCCAGAAGTTGGAGTTAGCCACCAGCCAGGCAGAGAGCATCCCAGCCACCTGTGAAACTAGTATGGGGCACTCGATGAAAGCTTCCTGGCTGACAGCTTAGTGATTCCTGCCCTGTAGCATCGCAGTTAGGACGTTACAGTTGTGACATCACCATGGAAATGCAAGAGAGAAGAAGCCACAACTTCTTGGCCTGTTATCATAAGCACTGGGCTCAGCACTTTGGAAATAATCCTCACAGCCCTTTGAAGAGATGTGAAAACTGGTGCTTCCAGGTTTCAAGTAACTTGTTCCAGGTCACTGTCTTGAGTCTGTTTCAGAGGGGACACTGTACTCATAGCAGAGCAGTCTCATCTCATACGTGACAGTGCTGGATTCATGTTCTACGGAAGCCTCTACAGCACACTCTTCCTCAGGGAGGGAAGCACTCCAGCAGTGAAGGACCCTTCTGGGCGTAAGCCAGGAACTGTTCTTCAAGTACACCATTTTGACAGACCCTTAGTAGCTCTCCATGGTGCTGTTATTTTCATTTCCTGTGAGGAAACTGAGTCCTGTGAAGATTAAGTAGCTTGTCCAGGTTCTGCAGCTGCCAGCGAGACTATGAGGCTCTGGGTCTCCAAAGTGCATGCTGTGATCTGAGTTTCTGTAAGCCACGTTGGCAGTGGCCTGTACCTGGGCACTCCAGCACTGTGGTGCCAGCTCTCTGAATGGCAGGCAGAGGTCCTGGGGAAGACAGCCAGCCTCTGGGGACATGGCCGGCCAGCTTCACCAGCAGGCTCCATTCCAGAGCCTCATTCCGAACCACTTCTGTCAGACTTACCGTAGTCCCCCATGGCTGTATTGTCACTGGAACGAATATGGTGCACATTCTTGGTGTGTGTGTGTGGGGGGGTCATGGGGATTGAACTCAGGGCCTTTGCACCGGCTACACCCCCAGCTCTTTTTTATTTTATTTAGTACTGGGGATCGAACTTGGGACCTTGCGCTTGTGAGGCAGATGGTGGCACCACTGAGCTAAACCTTCAGCCCTCCCAGCTCTTTTTTAAAACTTTATTTTGAGTCAGGGTCTCACTGAGTTGCCCAGGCTGGACTCAAACTTGTGATCCTCCTGTGTGAGGCTCCTGAGTCCCACCATGCCCAGCTACAGTGTACATTCTTGGGCATTTGCTGCCCATCCTGGTTAGAGACCTCACCATCCTGGTGAGGATGTTAGGGTCCAGAGTGTATTCCAGGATGTCAGCACATTCCCCTGGGGATTCCAGACTGCCCTGCCAAGCTTGGAATTAAATGGCATTGCCCTCCTCCCCTGCCCCTCTGTCTCCCTGCTTCTCCACCCCAGAAACTGGTTCTGGAAAGGTTTATTAAAATGTATTGTGCGACCACATTTGTCAGGGTCATCAGTTGTATTAGCTTGTTGTCACTGTGACCAAGTACCTGACACCCACGACTTAAGGGAGAAAAGGGTTGTTTTGGCTTGTGGCTTCACTCCGTGCTTGGCTGGTCCCAAGGTAGAAACGACCGGAAGGGGCTGGCGGAGTGGAGCTGTTTGCCTCACGGTGGCCAGGAAGCAGACAGAAGGGTCTGAGAACAGGATGTACTGTACTCTCCTCTTCTTTTGTTTTTCCTGTACTAGGGATGGACCCCAGGCACCCTGTGTCACTGAGCTGCATCCCCAGCTCTGTGTGTGTGTGTATGTATGGGACAGGGTTTCACTAAGTGCCCAGTCAGGACGCAAACTTGAACTCCCCCACCTCTCCTGCCTCAGTGCTGGGATGACAGGCGTGTGTCACCCCATCCAGCCAGCACCCACCCTTCAGTCTGTGCCCCGGAGACCTCCTTCCCCGAGCTGGGCCCCAGCTCTTAACAAGCCCCTTTAGCTGTGAACTCATCAGTGGTGCCCTGCCCTCCCAAACCTGCAACTCTGGGTGCCTGACTTTGGGGCACACTTAAATCTCAAAACGTGAATCTAAGACCCAAAGGAAACAGATAGCTCGGTACAAGTTCACTTTTCACATAACATTCTGCTGTCCTGCCTGACCCAGAGAACTGAGTAATGTTGTTTAAAGACCCTCAAAGGAATGGTAAATCTAATCAGGGAGGGCTACGATTGTCAGCTACCACCACGTGCCTCTGCTGTTGTTTTGGGGACCCTGGAAGCCCAGAAAGAAGCAGCAGCAAGCCAGATAAGCAGAAACTAAACAAAAGAAGAACCTTTACAGTATGTGATCCAGAATGGTTTTCATCTGCTAGTCATTTAAATATGTATATTGGAATCTCTAATTGGCCTTCGTATTTAGGTTTTCAATCTTAAATGTTGTTTGTTAGGACTCTCCAGGTTCTGCTAATTGCATTAGTAAAGGTTTATTGTTTTCCATGAAATGTTTTAATGACTTTTTATTAGTCTTAGATTCATTCATTTAAAAAACTTTATTCATAATTCTTTATCAAAATTCCTTTAATGATCAGTCATTTATATAATGTTGAGGATATGGTTAAAAGATGCTTATGATGGTTTTCCCTGAGACACAGTGGCCGAGTGCATATTTTTGTTTATTTGTTCTGGTCTTTGTATTATTTGGTACTGGGCATCAAACCCAAGGCCTCATATGAACTCAGTCCTCTTCCACTGAGATGCACCCCAAACCTCAGGTATTTTTGAACCCTTACAAAATGGTCACAAAGAACCCAACCCAACTGTTCAGACTCTGCTAGTTGGGCCTGTGTGGCTCAAATTTCATGAATATCTGTTGTTATAATGATATTAAAACAATAGCTATGGATTTATTTATGTACCACGTGTCAGACACTATTCTAAACATCATATGCAGAAAAGATGGCAGCGAGTCTTCTCAGCAACCATGTGAGGTAATAAAGCCATAGCTATTTGGATGCTGAGGCTTCAGAAAGTTAAATAAATTCCCAGGGATGCACAGATGTAGCAGAGCATGCATTCCTACATGAATCTTTGGGAAATCAAGCCCTCACTTCTAGAGGATACACCTGTGCTTCTCACAAAGGATCCCTGAGGATCCCCAGGATCTACGAGGCACTCCCTTTCCCGACACAGATCCATCCGCATGTGCTTGCATCCTTTTACTTTTGGTGCTGGGAATGGGACCAAGGCCTCGGGCATGCAAGGGAGGCCTTCCCTGCCGGGCCCCAGCCTCTTCCTGAAATTTAATCAGAACATTGCAGCAGTGAAGGTGTAGGCACGGAAGGACATTCAGTTGCCTTTTTTCAAGCCAGGCAATGGAGAGATTCGTGAAGTTGTAAATCAGTGCAGCCCTTCTCGCTCAGAGTCTGTTTCATTTTGGAAAAAACTGTTGTCCAAAAGTGTTGTGTTAACGCCATGGATTTATTATTTTTCATGACTGCATGTGTAGATCTCCGTTATAATTTCTAATTTGCTAAGTATCGATGAATGCACCCCAGTGGGCAGAAATGCTCAGAGACTCGTAGTGCTTTTGAGGTGCAGAGGGGTCCCAAGCCCAGAGTGCACAAGACTCATCCCACTGTCCTTCCCCTGGTGGAGCTTTGCTCCCAGCTCTGCTTCCTTCTGGGCTCAGCATCTAGGTTTTCAATTATTCCCTGTTCTTTTCGTGTTTGTTCAGTTTCTGCAGGTTTTAATTTTCAATTATTACTCAGGTAGCATCATCTCTACCATCTTAAACTTTTTAAAATCTGTTTTCCTAATGCCATTTACAGGAGCTTATGTGATAGGACTCTTAGAGAATGAGGTCTTTGTTTAAATTGTGTGTGTGTGTGTGTGTGTGTGTGTATGTTGCTGAGGATCGAACCCAGGCCCTTTGCATACCAGGCAAGCTCCCTAGCACTGAACCACATCCCCAGCCCCAAGAACGGGGTCTTTGGTGAGTCAGTTTGCCTGTTGTCCTCCTCCTCTTCCTGATAGCTCCTGTGCCCCACTCCAGGCTTCAGTGTCTGCATTAGTCAGCTTTCCAGTGCTGTGATAAAATACCTGAGACAAACAGCTCATAAGCAGCAAAGGTTGATTTTGAATGTTGCTGTGTGGCTTCTAAGCCCGTGGTGAGACAGCAGGACATCATGGCAGGGAGTTGCAGTGCAGCAGGGCTGCTCCCTTCATCGGGGTCAGAAGCAGAGAGAGGACAAGGGGGCCTGGGGACAAAGTGGACCCTTCAAGGCCACACCACGGGGACCTACTTCCTCTACCTGGGCCCACCTCCCACAGCCACTGCCTCCTCAGACCCCATAAAGCTATGGCTCCAATACCCCCCCCCCACCCCAAGGTCCTACTTTCGAAGGCCTTAGGAACAAAACCTTCAGCCCATGAGCTTGTGGGTGGCATTTCAGATCAAACCTTCGTAGTCTCACCAGACCCTGGGAAACTTCCTGGGTGGTCAGACTTCGCTGGAGTGATGGACACAGCGATTATTTATTAATAATCACAAGGAACGTTCCTGAGCACCTACCGTGTGCTCCCCACTGTGCTGAGCTTTGTACCACACTCCACCGAGCACCCCCTAAATCCTCAGAATGTCCCTGTAGAGTAGATATTATTGTCCCCATTTTACAGGCAAGAAGACCAAGCCTGTGGGCTGTGGAATAGTCACCTAATTTCACACTGCTAAGAAATAGCAGGTGGGAGCTTTGAATACCTGTAGGCAGTCAGGCACCTGCCCGGTGCTAAAAGTGGCTGTTTCATCAGATGCGACATTTCTCTGATGGCCAAGATTGTGCGGACCTCCCTTGACTGCTCTTAACTTCTTTTTGATTTTCCCTTTTCTGCATTCGGAACACATGGGCTTGATCTGCGGTTCCCAATATGCAGCACCGTTCACAAAGCTCCTCGTGTTTTTCGGTCCTTTAGATCGGACATGGAGAAAGAAGCCACTAGCATCAAAGGAACAAGGCCCCCTTGCCCCTCGGCCAGGCCGTGTCTAACAGTGAGGTGCAGCAGGGACAGTTTTTGGAACTGATTGTTCACGGAGCTGAGTTGGGACCTTGGGCAGAGGAGAGGCAGCATGCAGGCCCTGCCGGCTGCTGTGAACAGGGCAGTGGACACCCCTGGCATGTTAAGCACAGCGCCTGTAACAGCCTTGTTGTGATCCACAGCTCGGAGAAGAAGTTCTGCTCTGGCACTGGATGGCCTTCGTTTTCTGAGGCTCATGGTACATCAGGCTCCGACGAAAGTCGCGCAGGGATCCTGAGACGCTTGGACACCTCCTCGGGGTCGGCTCGTACAGAGGTCGTCTGCAAGCAGGTGGCGTAGTTTGCTTTGGCTGGTTTTCTCAGTGCCACGCTGAGTGCTGCCTGTCCTTGGCACCACTGCTGATTTTCCATGAGGCACTTTGTCCTCGGCGCACTTTGGACTCTGCTGGGTGCTGCGGGTGAAAGGCTGCCTGCGCCACTTTCTCCAGTGCTTTGCCTGGCTCTCGCCTTCCCCTAAGATGGAACAAGCCAGGGGCTGAGGGAGAGGAAGGGGCTGCCCCTGCATGTTGCTCTGAGCAGGAACAGGCAGCAGGAAGGCCCTGTGGAGTTGCACCTCCTGTCTTCCCTGCTCTGCGTCATGTCACCCTTGGGCAGGCTGCTCAGGTGACAACAGCACCCGGGTCCTTCCGTGCGCCTGGTGGGAGGGAGCAAGTTAAATCCTGACAGCAATTTCATTTTGATATCCTTGGGTGCTCACATTTTCTGTTGCATCAGTTTATATTATAAAGCAACAGAGGCAAGTAGGTAAAGTATCATTTTGCCACCAATAAAGAAAAATAATAATGCACAGTCTACAACATGATTGAGTACTCGTTCAGGAATTGTGTTACATTTTACTTGCACTGGGCCAGTTAATCATTGCAATGGCTTTGTTATGTAAGTAGTATCCCCATGTCATATATGAGTAGTAAATCAAGGCCAAAATTTAATACTCTGTTGATTTTCTTACTGGGAAGGTAGGACTATTCATCACTGCTGTGCTCTGTGTTCTTCTCTCTTAATTGAATTCTGGTGCAAATTCTGCTTTTCCTACGCAGATGGTAAGCTCTGGAGTGGGGTGGCGGTGTAGGGTTCCTCCGTCTGGTTTCCCAGAAAGGTCTCTCCCGTGAAACTGATAGCGGCTTCTCCCCTGCAGTGCGAAGCTCATCTTGGCCACGTGTTTCCCGATGGACCCGAGCCGAGCGGTCAGAGGTTTTGCATCAACAGTGTGGCCCTGAAGTTCAAGCCAAGCAAACAGTGACCGTTTCTAGCAGTCCCCTCCCGGGCTGCTCCTCAAGCAACCTTGATTTTCATAATTCAGGTAGATGATTTCTTTTGTGTGCTGCAAAGCCAGGCTGCTTGCTGTTGGCTCCAAGCAAGTTATAACTTCTCTTATTTACCTGTGGTCTGGCCTGACACCTTCTTGGACCATGGAATTTTACCTGAGGGGAAGCTGTTTCCACCACTGCCTTGCAAAGGCCTGGGGTGGGTCAGCAGGGTGGGCCCTTGTGGGACATCAGGAGGCTGATGGGTAGAAGTTCCTGCAGAATGACCCTGAACTTGCCACTGTAGTGAACTCCTCCAGGAGCATACGATGCGGAGCCCTGAGCCATCCCAGCATTGTGGAGCAGATTCGGGGAGAGGCTGAGCTTTGCTTAGCACACATTATGGTGACCATATGAGTGATATGTTTTCAGATTTTTAATGTCTCCAATATTCTACTTTTGCCCCTACCACCCACAAAGCAGCTCCAATGTGGGCCTGTTAGATTTTGTTGATTACAATGAAATGTTCACCTTTGTACCTTCTGCCTACAAAGTTAAACTTTAAAATGTTCAAATAGAATATTTACTGAAATCAATGTTTGCTTTTTGTCTAAGCCTATGAATTTGCTCTTTTATAAACATGACTGGAAGTGAAAATAACAGAAAATAACCAGATCATCTGGTAGTGGCACCTGGTTACCCAAGAGGCCTGGTGACTGGTACTTTACAGATTGAGCCTTGAATAACTGGTTATCAGTAGTGTTTGAGTCATTTTCTTTGTGACTTTACGGACAGAAAGAGAACAAGTTTTTCTCCTTGCTGACTTGTGAGACACTTCTTTGCGCCTTCTCTTTGTGGGTACCCTGGAAGACCCACCCCGCCTCCTTACCTTGTTCCTGCTGTGTGCAAATCCTGAGCTATTTTTTGGTTGCTCCAAGGGTGCTAACCCTAGAACATGAATTCCATTGACCTCTGTCAGACTTTGTGTAATGTTGCCATATGTTTAATATCACACACATTTTAAATGATAATGTCAAATTGTCATTACTAGTGTAGAGATGATGCGAATTTATTTTATTTATTTAATTTTTGTTAAATTCTTTTATTGGTACATTGTAGGTATACAACACAATTACATTTCTCATTGGGAATTGTACCTTTACATGATGCATCTTGGTTCTTATTTTTTCCCCATTCCTAGCCCTCCCTTCACCCCCTCCACCCTTCCCTATTTACAAAGACTTTATTTCCAATTCTTCCATTTCTCATCATTTTTCCTTTCCCTTCTTTCCTTTCCCCTGCCCCTCCCACTACCCCTACCCCTTTGGACCTTTTCTTCCTATTTTGCATTATCGATTATTCATTCTAATCATTGGTACAGTTTAGGTATACAATATAATGACATTCATCATTGCAAATTTGCACCTTTACATAGTCTCTCTTGGTTCTTATTTTTCACCCTTGCCCAGCCCTCCCTTCCACCCCTCCATTCCTCCCTATTTACAAAGATTTTGTTCCTATTTTTCCATTTTCTCATATTAATCCCATTCCCTTCTTTCCTTTCCCCTAGCACTCCCACTTCCTTCCCCTTTGCCCCTTTTCTTCCTATTTCACATTACCTATTATACATTTTAGCCTTATTTACACTTTCAGTTTCTCACACCAGAGAAACTATTCAGTATTTACACATGTGTGTCCTATTAATTTCGCTTAAGAGTATGGCCTCAATGTGCATCCACTTAGCTATAAATGTCTCTAATTTCTCATGTTTTATGGCTGAGTAGTACTCCATTTTATAAAAAAACCACATTTTCTTTATCCAGTCTCCAGTTGATGGGCATTTGGGCTGTTGCCAAGTTTTAGCTGTCACAAACTGTGATGCGAATTTATATTGACCTACGTATTTGCCCGTTGATTGCTCCTTTGTTCCTGCAATTCCGTGTTTCCTGCGGGATTATTTTTCTTCTGCCTGAATAACTTCTTTTGTTTATTTTCCCTTCAGTTCATGTTTCCTACTGATGAATTTCTTTAGTTTTTGTTAGTGATGAGATATATTTTTTCTTTCTTTTTTCAGTGCTGCAGATCTAATGTATGCTAAGCAAGTGCTGTTCCACTGACCCATGACCCTACCCCCTTTTCATTTTTGAAGAATGTTTTCCCGGGCATATAATTTAGAGTCATGCCGTGGTGGGCCACCTTGTGCTGTAGTCAGGTACACAGCTCAGCACCTGGTGAGGCCCCTGGACGGCTGGCAGCAGCCCGCTACTACATGGAGGCTTTGGGTGCTCGGAGGACAGTTTCTACCGCAGCCTAGCCCTCTTCTGCTCTCACCATGTTTTGCACTCTCTTCTGCAGCATTCCCTGAGCCTGGCTGCTGTGTCACAGCTGCAGGGTTTGGTGCTCAGCCCTAGGACAGTGCCATCAAGAATGCAGAAGCCCGACAAAGTGTGCGTGGGTCGGGCTTGCTTCTGTGTGGGACGGTGGGAAGTGAGGTGCAGCCCACCCAGATGTGCCACCACTGCAGCAGCAGGCACCCTGCATGGCACGCTGATAGTGTAGCACTCAAGGCCCAAACCGGGCAGGACCGTGGTGGACAGTTCTCTAGCAGCCCGCATAGCACTCTGGCTGTGAATGCTAGGAAGCTGCCAGCCAGTCACAGCCTGCTTTCTCCGGGTCCTCCAGCCAGAGCCTGGGGTGTTTTCAGCAATAGGGGCTCACCGTCCCGTTGTGGGGTGCAGCCAACTGCAGCGGCCTGTGTGGTTGGGGGGCCTTGGGGACCTCCCTGGGCAACAACTCAGAGAGAGGCACACCCTGGCCCCTGGCCCGGATTTTTATTGAATAGTGTGGCTTCCAGAAGTTTTAAATTTCTTCCCCCACACAAGGTGCCTTTAAGCCTTTTAACTATTGCTTTAACGACCCCCCTTTTAATTAAGCAGCCTCAGTGGATTTGTAAGGCGGGTGAAATTTCCCTTGCGTTTGGTTACCCTTGGTCCAATTTTGTGTCTCAGCGCTGGTGAAATGAGTGGCCCTGCTGCCGTGGATCCTTTGTGGGCACCTGAACATAACGCTGAGCTGAGTAATGGTGCTGATAGCAGCTTCCGCCGTAGCTCTGCACAGGGGACGCTGCAGGAGAGCAGCGTGGGAAAGGTCAGGATGCTTTACCGGGTGCCTGCAGCCTTCGCTCCCCCGCCTGTGCTGGTGCCCCTGACCCAGTCTGCTCTGCATCGAGTGGGGACAAATTGCTCACCAGCTTGGCACCTTTCTTCCGTACTCCTAACCCACACGGTGTCTGTGGTTATCTGAACTGTTACTGTCTCGGATTTCTGTTTCACACCCAGCCATACCATCTGTGCAGCAAGCACCTAAGGGCTGGGCAGTGTCCCTTTCAGCACCTTCTGGGACTTAGCTGTTGGCTTCCCCACTGCTGGTGGCACATGCCTGTAGTCCCAGCTCCTCAGGAGCAGTGCAGTGCAGCAAGTTCAAGGCCAGCCTGGGCAATTTAGAGAGATCCTATCTCAAGATAAAAAGCCTGGGGGTGTAGCTCAGTGGTAGAGCTTGCCTAGCATGTGTGACGCCTTAGATTCAATTCGGGTCCAAAAAGAAACATAAAAAGAGCTTTCACGGTTATTGTTTTTCTATTTTATTGATTTCTGTTCAGTTCTTTCCTTCTTTTTGTTTGCTTTGTGTATAACTTCCATTTCTTTTTATGCTATCTTGTACTATTTTAGGCTTTGGGGTTAGGTTGACTTTTAGACCTTCCTTTTCCTACATAAACATTTAAAGTTATAAATTCTCCTTTATGCTCTGCCTTGTCTATATCCCACAAATTTTGACATGTATATTTTCATTACCATATTTATATATAAATAACATATTTTCTAATACTTCCTGGGAATCCTCTTTGGCCCAATAATTATTTAGAAGTGTACTAAATTCCAAATATTTGGAATCTTCCTGGTTTTCTCTTTGTAACTGGTTTCTAATTTAATCCCTCTGTGGTCAGAGCACTTGGCCTACAGGACTTCAAACTTTTCAAATGTATTGAGGTGGGTTTTATGGCCAGCAAATGTGGTCTGTCTGATGAGCATACCAGCATGTCACAATTCTGTTGGTTTATACCCACAAAGACCATATTACAATTTTTGAACAGTTATTGTTTATGAAAACAAAGGTAAAGGGAAAAAGGCAAAATAACTTCTTTTGCATTGATCGAAGTATTTACATTCCTGTTTTTCATTGTTTTCTGAAAATCTTGGAATTCTGACTGGTATCAATTTTCCTCTGAAGAAATTTCTTTTAGCATTTCTTAGAGTGGCAATTTGCTGGTGAACAATCCTCTAAATTTTCTTTTAAATGAAACGTCTCTCTCTATTTTGCCTTTGGAGGTGGGGTTACTGGGAATTGAACCCAGGGCTCCATACGTGCTAAGCACTTGCTGTGTCACTGAGCTGAACACCAGCCCACACATTTATTCTTAAGTGATAGTTTCTCTGAGTTGACAGGTGGTTTTTTGTTTTTGATGTTGTTTTGATTTCAGGACTGTAAAAATGTTGCTGTACTCTCTTTGGCTTTCCTTGGTTTTTAGAGAAAAGTCAGCTGACACTGGATTGTTGTTCTTCTGTATCAAGGTACAGGTTTGGGGCATGTGCGTCTGTTCCTTGCTTCCAGGAGGCATCTTGTTGCTGTTCCCCTACCTGGTAGAAGACAGAATGATAAAGGTGGCAAACACTGTGTTGTCACAGGGCAGAAGAGATCGATGGGGACAAACCCAGTGGACTCTTGTAAGGGTCCTCATGTCATCCCTGAGGGCTTCACCTTCGTGACTGAATCACCTCCTAAAGGCTGCACCTCTTAACATAATCACACTGGCAAATGCATTTCCAACAGAAAGCCTGTTCGGGACACACTTGGACCACAGCGGCTTCCAGCAGATGTGCCTTGACGTTGGCCTCCTTCTGTGAAATATGTCTCGTATCTGCAGCTTTTGGTCTTTCGACCAATTTGGGAAACTTTCAGTTGTTATTCCTTCAAGCGTTTCTTTTCTGTTCTTTCTCCCCTCTTATTCTGGTGTTCCAGTTACACATATAACTTACCATTTGATGTCATCTCACAGCTCACTAAGGGTCTGGTTCTTTCCAGTCCTTGCCCCTCCCTCTCCCTCTCTGCTCCCCTCTTCACCTAGTGTATTTCTGTGGATCGATCTTCACGTTTTCTTATTCTTTCATCCATCACAGTCATTCAGTTTTTAGTCTAGTAAGTGAATTCTTATTTACGAAATTGTATTTTTTTAAGTTTGGTTCTTTGTTTCTATTTGTTTCCTCTTTGCTGTTTCTGTTTCCTTGTTCAGACTTTCATTTCTCTGCTGGTGTTTGTAGTCCTTGAAATCATGGTTGTGCTCTTTCCCTGAGGGGAGTTAGAAGAGCAAATTCAAAATCCTTTTCTGTTAGGTCCAACATCTGGTTCATTATAAGGTTGGGCTTGGTTGAATTTTTTTCTGTTAAGAATGTTTCCTAGTTTTTTTTTTTCCATATCGTGTAATTTTGGATTGTGTCCTGAGTATTATGAAAGTTAGTTTGTGGAGATTCTGGATTTTTCTTTTCTCTAAGGAGTCTTTTTCCTCTGTGTTAGCAGATATCAGTCTCCGCTCGACCTGAACGCACACTCTTTTTCTTGGATGGAAGTCTCGGTTTGGAATTTCTGTGGTTGCTGCTGTCTTCAGCTGAGCCATTTTGTGTCTGCTCCATGGTACTTGGGTCAGGGTTCAGTCAGAGACGTGGGAAGGCTGAGTTGGGATCTTCTCTCTTTTCCCCTTGTAAGCGTCTCTTTCTCTTTTAAGTGTCCACTTTTCTGATTTTTCAGAAAAAATCAGGCTGCAGGTGTTTTTCGTGTCTGTCCCTGGTATTGCCGTGTGCACCGAGTGCAGGCTTCTCTTGGCCTCCAGCTAAGACCTGGGCATGGGGACTGACTGAGTTGTGACCCTCCTCTCCCTCCCGACAGCTCACGGTCTTCACTAGGAGCCAGTGATGGTGAACCTTTTAGAGCTTTTGGTAATAACACATGGCCCACTGTGGCATGCGTGCCACAGGTGGGGGACTGCATAACTCTGTAATCATAAAACTCCCCTAGCCCCAACTGTAAATGTGAGTAAATAGATAAAGATGCTTGTTAGTTCCAGGACACTAGATAAGATCTGTATCAGCCATAAGGTCCCAAAGTAAATTACTCAACTCTTTGTTCGAAACTGATGTTCCGGACACCGCTATCTATAGAACAATCTACAAACATCTGCTGACCATCAGTACGTGTCAGCTGACCACTAACCTTTGTTCCTCTTCTGTAAATTTCGCCTGTTAACTTCCCCTGCAAAAAAGAGCCTTGGACTCTGGGCTAGTCGCCTCTCTAAGCTACTTTGCTTTGGGAGTGCAGTCTGGCCAGACTAAGGTCTGTTTTACTTTCCAACTTGTCCGGTGTGTTCCTTCCCAGGTGTTCTTCCCTGCAGTCAGCTCCTCAGAGCGTTTGGTAAGGCCCTCGGTCTTACACAGGTTCGCCACCTCTGCAAAGCCATCTGCCCCTGCTGTTCCCCAGCGCTGCGGGTAGTTGCTTCTGTGTCCTGTTCAGATTTTGTGGTTGTTCTGCAGGAGCTGAGTCCTCTGGGAGGGTCTTGGCTGTTACTTCCAGAAGTAGAAATGTAGGGCTCCTATTTGCCAGGGAAGATGTTCCTAAACTTACAGTGGAGTCATATCCTGGTAAACCAATAATAAATTGAAAATGTCATCAGTCAAAAATGTATCTAATCCACCTGACCCACCGAACAGCATAACTTAGCCACACAGTACACTGTAGAGTATTGGTTGTTTCCCCGCATGATCAAAAATTATAGGATATTGTTACGATTATATTCCTAACCTTAAATGCTTTTTATTATTTATAAAAGACATGAAATAAAAGATTCAGTTAAATAAATTAGAAAAATAAGATAATCTTTTTTTTTTTTGGTACCGGGAATCAAACTCAGGGCCTTGTGCTTGCCAGACAGGCGCTGTGCTGCTGAGCTACATCCCCAGCCCAGAAAAATAAGATAATCTTAAGGAAAATAGAATAAGAAAATGATAAAAGGAAACATAAATGAATTAGAGATAACAGAGTAGAATAAAACATCAACTAGTCTCTGAAAAACAATAAAGCAAACAACAGTTTTAATCAAGAGAAAAAGAATATTTATCTGAGCTAAAATTACAAGTGAAATATGAAATACAAAGACAGACATGGGGAATTTAAAAACTAAGACTCTGTAGAGCTCCAGCAGGATATATGAATGAAATACAGGATGTTTGCGGAAAATATTTAATCATCAGTATCGTCATAAGAGGGGCTGGAGTGTAGCTCAGGCATAGAGCTCTACTTAGCAGTGCAAGGCCCTGGCTTCCATCCCCAGCACCAGAGTTTTAAAAAAATCCAGATTTACTTTAATACCAGTAATAACTGATAATAACTGAATAGACTAATATTCACAGAAGAAGCATAGTTGCCTCCCCAAAATGACTCTTTCCTTAGTTTTATGAATGTGTTCAGTTAAACTTCCAATTCCTGGACCACATCCATGGTTCCCAGGCTGGGGAGTGGAAGAGGAAGAAATCAGTTTTAATATTTGGAAAAACAGCTTAGTGATGACATCAAATCCTGTCAGTGGTAGAAGATAACAGAGAAGCGGGGAATCTACAAACCAGTTTCACTGAAGACAATAGATGTGAAAACATTAATCACACTAATAACGAAATGAATTGAGCATTGTATTAAAACAATAGTTCAGCTGTCACTTTGATCAATATGATGAATTAGATTCTTTGAAGGACCCTCCAGGTTGAAACAGAACAAAAAGAGAATCTGCCTAAAACGTATTATCTTAGTTGCATTACTGGGCCTATAGGAATTGAGAAGCCTTTCAGGTAGGTTGGGATTGGTGGGAGGTGGATGCGGAAGTGGTAACACAGCATTCGGGAAAGACTGGGTTGCTATAGTGATGGGGAGGGAGTCAACATTATTTCCTTAGCCCACATTTATGAAGTACCTGCCATATACTGGGCCCTGTTCTAGGGAATGGAAATATAGCAGTGAAAATCTTTTGAGTTCCTGCCCTCCCTGGGACCTTACATGCTGATACAGGGGAAAGGCGATACAATAAACTAGCAAATATCATAATATTTTGGATATTAGTCTTATGGAGAAAAATTAAACGGGAGGAGAAGACATGTTGAACAGGTGACGGTTTTATATGGGGTCATTGAGGGGCGCCTCACTGAGCAGAGATTGTGAGCCGACTTGGAGATGCTGCAGCAAGCCAGGCAGATGGGAAGGGAAGAATTCCCAGTGGACTGCTTTGTAGAGAATGCAGTGCTTTGTGTGCAGGCAGTGCAGGAGGAACAGCAAGGCCAGGAGCAAATGAGGGAAAAGAATGGTAAATCAGAAAAAGGACATGCAGTGACCTACCTGCTACTTCCATAGGGTGAGCTAATGGAGATGTCCTGGGGACACTGACCCACACCTGTTAAGTCTTTGAGGGTGGTATTAACTTCTCCAAAGGGTCCACCTTCATTCATTTTCTGTACACTGAGGAGAGGAGCAAAGTCTAGGGGTTTTAAGGTCGGTTGTGTTTGGAATCCGATTGTCACTGATTCCAGAGAACCGAAAGACACCTGTCCCGGATGGGTACACTGGACAGAGGCAGCTAGGCCTGGCCCAAACTCAACTCACCTACCACCTATCCGGTGAGCCCATGGACCTGCCCTGGGTCGTTGTCCAGTCCTGGGTAACATCGTCAGGATACACGTTCTTCGCTGCAGCTGAGACCTCACGTGGTTTCCCTGGCCTGGAGTAAAGACAGTTTTAGGGAGGAGAGTCAATCTGAAATCCCCAAAACCCTGCCTCCTCAGCCAAGAGAGTAAAGCAGAAGGGGTAGGACATCCCAGGAAGATGGCGAGGATTAGTTAAATCTGGAAAAGTTAATCAGAATAAAAATAGGAAAGATGGAGACCAGGATGGACATTGCTTTTCTTGTCCTGAGCTAGGCTTGGCTTAAAGACCAAGTTTAAGACGTGAGCCAGCAGGCTCCTGTCACTGTCTGCAGGCTTGTCAGTGGCCCTTGGGGTTCTTCTGCGGGTCACAGCCATGTTGGGAGCCATTATCTGTCGGAGGGATTTTAAGGAAGCTTGGCTTTAAGAATATTCATCCTAAGGATGGGCCTCACAGTTGTGTGATTGACTGTCCTGATGCAGCCTTAAATGGCATCATCCATCCCCCAAGAGCGGGGGATGCCCCTATCCACGTCTAGGAGTGATTGGAACACACTACCTGACCAGTGACCTTGAGACTCTCGGTCCGGGTCCGTCCCAGAGTGACATCGCAAACTCCTGAGACACCGCTGTGCTTCCAGACTCCAGGAAAAGGCCATGCTTCTCAGACCGCAGTGGGTGAGAATTCTGTAAAGCACAGGGGGTGCACAGGCTTGCTTTCCACTTCTGACTCTCCTCACTCTCTGGATTTCACCCATATTAAAATGCACTCACTGAGCACCCACCCCAGGGATGGAAAGGAGCCCCCTGGGGTCCCGGCTGCGGGCTTGGTCCATGTGGCCTCCCGAGCCCTGGCTCTGCTCATTTCACCAGAATTGGAGCCTTCCCCTGCTGGGTGGTGCTGAGAGATTTGGGTCCGGGTCCAGCGGTCTCAGAGAGCAAGCTGCCCTTCGGTCTGACCCTTCCTGCCCTCCCCTCAGAGTCAAGAACAAAAGAATAATTCACATTGCATTGAGATGCTGATTATGGGGTGGAGGGAATATTCACTGTAATCGGAGTATTTGGCTGATTGGGAACTGTTTACAGACGTGTTTCTTTCTAGTGTGTACCCTTGAAATCATTTTCTTTGTAAATGTTAAAAGCCATATGAAAAAAACTACAACCACCTTGATTACTGCTCTTTGTACTCCAATCAGCAGCTGCACGTCAGCCTCTGAATAAACTGTAATTCCTTCACTGCGCCTGTTGAGGAGAACATTTAGGCCACATTTTTAAAAATATCTTGGTAGGGGTCTCAAGTACAATTAGCAATTAAAATAATCTATTTTCTATGTTTCACTACACACACACACACACACACACACACACACACACACACACAGCTACTTGATTGATTGCACGGGCGCGGGCTCTGCACTCACTCATTCCCCAGACCTGAGACTCACAGAAGCTCTTGGCCTTCTTCAGTGCATCCTGAACTTTGGAATAGAGTGCCAGGGCTGCTGGGGGCTTCTGGCTTCAGACCCCTTGGTCTGCGCTGTTCAAGGCCAGAGTCTTAGTAAGAAACACCTGGCCAGGGTGAGGATCTCAGGTAACAATCAGAATCATTCAGGGAACCATCCAGAAAAGGGGAGCTATGGCTCAGCTGCGAGACACCCCCCAGAGGTCTCACTGCAAAGGTGAGGTGTGGCCAGAAGGGGCCGGGCTGGGGATAGGACCCGGAAGGGTGTCTTCTCCGCCCTAGCCCTTTCCTTCTCGCTCTGCTTCTCGCTGGCTGCCACCTTCCTTCCACCATGTGTTTCTGCCCTAAAGTCTGCCACCTCTGGACTGAATCCACTGGAAATTGTGAGCCAAAGAAATCTTTCCTCCTTTAAGTCGTGGGTGGCAGGTATTGAACCTTAGCTAGCTAATGAGGGCCCGGCAGTTCAGCTCCTGGATCTGCATGCCAGCCTCATGGCTTCGTGGGTTTATGGGTGGTTTCTGTCTTGGAAAAGCAAGATGTTATATTTGCAGAAATAGTTCAGGCATGACCCACATTCCAGCCAGAGAAGCAGACCTGGTGAAGTCCAAAGGGCATGGCCAGCTCCACCATTCTCTAAGAGCTTCAGAAAATGAAGTGATGTCCCACAAGGGCGGGCGACTTCCGGCCTGTGCACACCAGTCCCCTCCCATCTTCATGGAGCTGGAACACTGTGCCTCGGCCCGGGAGCTGGCACTGAGCAGTCACCAAGACCAAGGCCAAAGGAGAAGAAAGGGCAGGAACCATGCCTTCCCCAACTGGGCCACAGGGAGTCGGAGGAAGAGCGGATTTTAGCCTCTGAGCAGCCTTTGCCACCTGTGGCTGAGGCATTTGTCATCCCTGGGTCCCCTGCTGAAATGCTTCCAGGGATGAGGATAACCGACAGAACCTTACCCTGGCATCTCTTCCCCCAGGGGCAGCTTATAAACAGGCATGAATGGAGCACAGCCTGCTGAAGGAGCCTCACTGCCAAGACAAAGTGGGCAGAGTGTTGCTGTGTGACCCTGTCTTAGCCAGCTTTTTGTTACTGAGACACAGTACCCGACAGCCACAACTTTAAAAGGGGGCAGGTTTACTTGGGCTGTGGTCAGTGACCCTGAGGCACAAATGGTGTGGCAGAAGGGCCTGGGTGGAGAAGGAGAGGAGAGAACCAAGAAGGGAGTCACGGAGGCAGGGCCACCCGTCCAGGTCACACCCTGGGGACCTGCCAGCACATCAGGCATGGTGTCCTGTGCTCCGATCGCCTTCCCGAGCCCTGTCTTGGAGTGGGTCAGGCTGCGGGGATGACATCTAGATGTAAACCATGGCATCTGTGAGGAAATGTCTTCAGTGGGCTGGTGGCATCTGACCGGACGAGGTATAACGGCACCGAGTGCCCATGCTGTTTGCCATATCCTGTTACTAAGGGCACCAAGCTGCAGGGCCCAGGCTGTCCCAGGGCAGTTTGCACTTACGGAAGTGGCTCCGGTTTACTCAAAATTAAGTGGGCTGAGAGCCTGTGACAAAGAATAACCAATTGAAAACAACAGTAAAAAATAAAGTTTCCGGCAAACTTTATGTGCCTTTCAGCCATTTTTTAAACTTCCCATGTTTTCTTATTTAAAGTATGAGGATGAATGGAAATATTTATGAATCCTAGGGCAGTTTTCTAAATTTGATATGTTTCTTAGAATTTTTCCAGATTAGGGAATATTTTCCCAAATTTGTTTAAATCACACTTATTCTCCTTGGCTAACAATGTTTCCATGAATTTTTAATTTTCTTTTTGTTTCTGAGTAAATTGCTGAAAGAATAGTCATCAAAAATGAATCTTTCAGATTCCTAGAATTTGTATAGCTAACGATGATTTTACATTTAAATGAAATTTCAAGTAGTTTTGGTTGTGTTTTTTTTGGTACTTTCTCAGTTATTTTGCTTTCTACACTGACTTAAATTCCTTTTCAGTTAGTATTTCTGGCTTTAATGGTATTGCTTCACCATTACCCCAGTCAGCGAGTCTGGTGTGCACACGCGTGTGCTGGACAGAGGGCCTTGGCTGTGCCATGCGATGTTTTCAGTGTCGCTAAGACCCTCACGCGGGTCACCATGTTCCTGTGTCTGGCTCCTGGACGCCCACGGGATCCTGTGGAATGGCGTAGAAGACGGCCTCAGACCTCCTCCTGGGCTGCACGTGGAATTTGAACCACCCAGAGAGGAACTCTTCTAAAATCTTTCTAACACCTTGGATGAGGATGGGGAGCCAGAGCAGACTGAGCTCTTCCGCACACTGAGGGCATGCGCACGAGCTTGCAGGGTGGGGTCCAGCAATGGGCTGGCCTGGTACTGGGAGACAGCCACTGCTCCCACCTCGCCCGCCCGTATGCCATCCCTCCTGGGTGGTCCGTGTTGCTGTTCTCGCAAAGCTACCAAGCAGGTAGCAGCAAGCAGCCCCCTTGATGTGTCTGCACAGCCTGGGACTCTACACCAGGGGAAGCTGCAGGGCAGGAAAGAGAAATGGGCAGCTGTTTGTGGAGACTGCTGCTAGCAGATTGGTGGGTGGGTGGCTGCCTTTGAGGTCCCCACCAGAGACACCCCAAATAACTGGGAGACACATGGTGGCCATGCCATTCCAAGGTGCACCTATTGTAATTCGGGCATTAAACGTTAATGGGGCTTCATGCGATCACAGTCCAGGGAAACCCACATGTATATACCCCGTGTACCTACAATAATGGTAATGCTAAAGTACAGAGAACACTAGCTAGACAAAACATTTCTTTTTTTTTTTTTTTTTTTGGTACCGGGGATCGAACTAGGGTCCTTGCACTTGTGCAGCAGGCAGCAAGCTAAATCCCTCACCCCTTATTTCTTCATTCTATCTTCACAGGGAAAATTATAGTTAGCAAACTGAGACTTCATTGAGTTATTATTTCTCACTTCAAATAATAGTTTTGAAGATTAGTTTAAAAAAAAAGAAAAAGAATTCAAGCATTGCTCCTACCTTTTTTATGGGGAGCGTACTTTAGCATACTCAAAATATTAATTTTGGAGAATTTTTTGTAGAATTAATTTAGATAACAAATGGAATGGTATATCATTTGCAATCCCCAATGAAGGAAAATCACAAAAAGACAAGAAGAAATTTGAAGAGCTTTTACTTTTTTAAAGCACCACTGGGGATTGAAGCCAGGGCCTTTGCACCAAGCTACATCTTTAGCCCTTTTTATTTTCTATTTTGAGACATTGCCCTGCTGTCAGTGAATTGCCTGGGGTGGGTTCGAAATTGCCATCCTCTTTCTCCACCCTCCCAGATCACAGGTCTGCACTGCCACACCTGGCTGAAGTAGGCTCATCAGAATCTCCAACATGAAACAGATTGAGTTCTAGCCAGAACTAATGGTGTAGAAGATATACAGGGTACAGAGGAGCATGTTAAATATCTACAACAGAAATGCAACTAGAAAAATCAGATGTGATAAATGACACAGGAAAAACAACTTGATTTTGACAAATAATTTGTTAACAGGAGAGGCAGAGAACCCTCAGATTAAAAGAGACAGGAAATACAGCAGCAATTTCAATGTATGGACCTTACTTGTATCAGCATTTGAACAAGAATTTATGAAAGAACTGGAAAATTTGAACACTACAGTAATACATAATGAAGTTAAAGAATTATTGTTGATATTGTGTGTAGAATGGTGGTTTTACAGGGTTTTGTTACAGAAGTCTTGCTGTTTAGAGATGTGTGCTGACGTACTTGTGGATGGAACGATGCAGCTTGGATTTGCTTTACTAATCTGCACCAGTAAGAGCAAGTGGCAGGGATCCATGGTAGAAGTTACTGTCTGCTCACCAGAAAGCTGCTTGCAGGATGGAGGGTAGGCAGGGGTAGGGGCTGCTTGCAGCCGCTGGAGTCCCAGCCCTCTCTGAGAGGAGAGATCTCCGTACCATGGTTTACATCCAGCTCTGATCCCTGCAAGCTTGATATTGGGAAAAAGGACACTTCCTGTCAAAACTAAAGTCCAGTCCCCAACAAGATCCCTTGCAAACCTCAGCTCAGTTGGGAAAGGAAATGAGATTTCAGAAAAAAGGAGGATGGATGCAACAGAGCAATTTTGCCTAATGCTTAATTTTTACTGAAGATGTGTGTGTGTGTGTGTGTGTGTGTATGTGAGAGAGAGAGAG